TTTTAAATAAATTTATAAGCAAATTGAACCACTTTTAATTTTACAACGATATGCCCCCTTCACATAGTAAAAAAGACGAGGCATCACATGGTAACACAGAGCAGGCGTAACATATAAACACAGACCAGGCGTCACATAGAAACACAGACTAGACATCACATAGTAACACAGACCAAGCATCGCACAGTAACACAGACCTGGTATCACATAGTAACACAGACCAGGCATCAGACACTAACACAAAACAGACATCAGACAGTAACATAGACCAGACATCAGATAGTAACACAGTCCAGGCGTCAGTCAGTAACATAGACCAGGCATCACTTACTAATACTGACACGGCATCATATAGTAACACAGAGCATGTATCAGAAAGAAACACAGAGCAGGCATCAGACAGTAACAAACACCAGGCATCAAACAAAAACACAGACCAAGCATCACATAGTAATACAGACCAGGAATCAGACAGTAACACACACCTGGCATCACATAGTAACACAGACCAGGCATCACATAGTAACACACCAGGCATTACATAGTAACACAGACCAGGCGTCACATAGTAAAAAAGACCAGGCATCACATGGTAACCGACCAGGCATAACATATAAACACAGACTAGGCATCACATAGTAACACAGGTCAGCCATCACATTGTAACACAGACCAAGTGTCACATAGTAACACAGACCAAGTGTCACATAGTAACACAGACCTGGTATCAAATAGTAACACAGACCAGGCATCAGACAGAAAGACAGTTCAGGCGTCAGTCAGTAACATAGACCAGTCATCACTTAGTAATACTGACAAGGAATCACATAGTAACACAGAGCAGGCATCAGAAAGAAACACAGAGCAGGCATCAGACAGTAACACACACCAGGCATCAGAAATAAACACATAACAGGCATCAGACAGTAACACAGAGCAAGCATCTGACAGTAACACAGACCAGGCATCAGACAGTAAGATAGACCAGGCTTCACATAGTAACACAGAAAAGGCATCACATAATAACACAGACCAGGCATCAGAAAGTAACACAGAGAAGGCATCAGACAGTAACACAGACCAGGCATAACATAGTAACACAGACGAGTTGACACATAGTAACACAGACCAGGCATAACATAGTAACACAGACGAGTTGACACATAGTAACACAGACAAGGTATAACATAGTAACACACACCAGGCATCAATAAGTAACACAGACCAGGCATCAGACAGTATCACAGACCATGCATCAGACAGTAATACAGTCCAGGCATCAGACAGTAATAAAGTCCAGGCATCACATAACAACACAGGCCAGGCATCACATAGTAACATAGATCAGGCATCACATAGTAACACAGTCCTGGCATCAGACAGAAACACAGACTAGGCCTCAGGCAGTAACATAGACCAGTCATCACACAGTAATACAGACCAGGCGTCATATAGTAATACAGACCAGGTATCAGACAGTAACACAGACCAGGCATCAGACAGTACAACTGACCAGGCATTACATAGTAACACAGCCCAGGCATTACATAGTAACATAGATCAGGCATTACATAGTAACACAGACCAAGCATCAGACAGTAACACAGACCAGGCGTTACATAGTAACACAGAGCAGGCATCACATAGTAACACAGACTAGGTGTCACATAGTAACTCAGAACTGGTGTCACATAGTAACACAGACCAGGCATCAGACACTAACACAAACCAAACATCAGACAGTAACACAGACCAGACATCACTTAGTAACACAGACCAGACATCAGACAGTAACACAGTCCAGGCGTCAGTCAGTAACATAGACCAGGCATCACTTAGTAATACTGACAAGGCATCACATAGTAAAACAGAGCAGGCATCAGACAGAAACACAGAGCAGGCATCAGACAGTAACACACACACCATCAGACAGATGCATGGTGTCTGTTTTACAGTATAATGCCTGGTCTGTGTTACTATGTAATTCCTGGTCTGTGTTACTATGTAATTCCTGGTCTGTGTTACTATGTAATGTCTGCTCTGTGTTACTGTATGATGCCTGATCTGTGTTACTATGTAATGCCTGGTCTGTGTTACTATGTGATACCTGGTCTGTGTTGTTATGTGATGCCTGAACTGTGTTACTGTCTGATGCCTGATCTGTGTTACTGTCTGATGCCTGGTATGTATTATTATGTGATTCATCATACCAGACATCACATAGTAACACAGACCAGGCATCACATAGTAACACAGACCAGGCGTAACAGATAAAAACAGACCACGCGTCACATAGTTACAAACACCAGGGGTTACATAGTACCACAGACCAAGCATCACTTAGTAACACATGCCAGGCATCGGTCAGTAACACAGACCAGGCATCACATAGTAACACAGACCAGGCATCACATAGTAACACAGACCAGGCGTCACATAGTAACTCAGACCAGGTATCGGAATGTAACACAGACCAGGCATCACATAATAATACAGACCAGGCATCATATAGTAACACAGACCAGGCATTACATAGTAACACAGACCAGGCATCACATAGTAACACAGACCAGGCATCACATAGTTACAAACACCAGGGGTTACATAGTACCACAGACCAAGCATCACATAGTAACTCAGACCAGGTATCGGAATGTAACACAGACCAGGCATCACATAATAATACAGACCAGGCATCAGAGAGTAACGCAGTTCAGGCATCACATAACAACTCAGACCAGGCATCATATAGTAACACAGACCAGGCATTACATAGTAAACACAGACCAGGCATCATATAGTAAAACAGATCAGGCTTTACATAGAAACATAAATCAGGCATCAGGCAGTAACACAGATGCCTGGCATGTGTTACTGTGTAATGCTTGGTCTGTGGTACTATGTAACGCCTGGTGTTTGTTACTATGTGACGCCTGGTTTGTTTTTATCTGTTACGCCTGGTCAGTGTTACTATGCGATGCCTGGTCTGTGTTACAATATGATGTTTGGCCTCTGTTACTATAAATGCCTGGTCTGTGTTACAATGTTATGCCTGGTTTGTGTTAATATGTGATGCCTGGTATGATGCATCACATAACAACACAGGCCAGGCATTACATAGTAACACAGACCAGTCATTACATAGTAACACAGACCAGGCATCATACAGAAACACGGATCAGGCATTACATAATAACACAGACCAGGCATTACGTAGTAACACAGACCAGTCATCATACAGTAACACAGACCAGGCATCATACAGTAACACAGAGCAGGCATTACATAATAACACAGACCAGGCATTGCATAGTAACACAGACCAGGCATAATACAGTAGCACAGAACAGGCATTACATAGAAACACAGACAAGACATCAGGCAGTAACACAGACCAGGCATCAGACTGTATCCCAGACTATGCATCAGACTGTATCACAGACCTCGCATCATATAGAAACACAGACCAGGCATCAGACAGTAACTCAGACCAGACATCAGACAATAACACAGACAAGACATCAGACAGTAACACAGATCAGGCATAAGACAGTAACACAGACAAGGCATCTTACAGTAACACAGACCAGGCATCAGACATTAACCCAGACCAGGCGTTACATAATAACACAGACCAGGCATCACATAGTACCACAGACCAAGCATCATATAGTAACACATGCCAGGCATAGGACAGTAACACAGACCAAGCATCACATAGTAACTCAGACCAGGTATCGGAATGTAACATAGACCAGGCATCACATTATAATACAGACCAGGCATCAGAGAGTAACATAGATCAGGCAATAGACAGTAACACAGTTCAGGCATTACATAACAACACAGACCAGGCATAAAATAGTAACACAGACCAGGCATCACATAGTAAAAAAGACCAGGCATCATAGAGAAACACAGAACGGGCAACACATAGTAACACAGACCAGGCATCAGACAGTAACACAGACCAGACATCACATAGTAACACAATCCAGGCATCAAACAGTAACACAGACCAGGTCACAGACAGTAATACAGACCAGGCATCAGTCAGTAACACAGACCAGGAATCAGACAGTAGCACAGAACAGGCATCACATAGTAACAAAGAACAGGCAACCTATAGGACCACAGACCTGGCGTAACTTAGTAACACAGACCAGGCTTCAGGCAGTACCACAGACCAGGCGTCATATAGTAACACAGACCAGGCATCAGACAGTAACACAGACCAGGCATCACATAGTTACACAGAGCAGGCATCACATAGTAACACACACTCAAGGCGTCACATAGTAACACAGACCAGGCGTTACATACTATCACAAACAAGGTATCACATAGTAACACAGACCGGGCATCACATAGTAAAAAAGACGAGGCATCACATGGTAACACAGACCAGGCTTAACATATAAACACAGACTAGACATCACATAGTAACACAGACCAAGCATCGCACAGTAACACAGACCAGGCATCACATAGTAACACAGCCCAAGTGTCACATAGTAACACAGACCTGGAATCACATAGTAACACAGACCATACATCAGACACTATCACAAAACAGACATCAGACAGTAACACAGACCAGACATCATATAGTAACACAGACCAGACATCATATAGTAACACAGACCAGACATCATATAGTAACACAGACCAGACATCATATAGTAACACAGACCAGACATCATATAGTAACACAGACCAGACATCATATAGTAACACAGACCAGACATCATATAGTAACACAGTCCAGACATCAGATAGTAACACAGTCCAGGCGTCAGTCATTAACATAGACCAGTCATCAGACAATAACACGGACCAGGCATTAGACAGTAACACAGACCAGGCATCACATAGTAACACATACTAGGAATCGGACAGTATGTGATGCCTGGTCTGTGCTATCATGTGATGCCCGGTCCGTGTTACTATGTGAAACATGTTCTGTGTTTCTATGTGATGCCTGGTCAATGTTCTAACAGAACACAAACCAGGCATCAGACAGTAATACAGACCAGGCATCAGGCAGTAACACAGTCCAGGCATCAGACAGTAAATCAGAACAAGCATCAGAGAGTAACACAGACCAGGTATCAGTCAGTAACACAGACCAGGAAGCAGACAGTAACACAGAGGAGGCGTCACATAGTAACACAGACCGGGCAACAAACAGAAACATTGACCAGGCATCACATAGTATAAAAGACCAGGCATTAAATAGTAACACAGACCAGGCATCAGAAACAACACAGACCAGGCATTACATAGTAACACAGACCAGGCATTACATAGTAACACAGACAAGGCATTACAGAGTAAGACAGACGAGACATTACATAGTAGCACAGACCAGGCACCAGACAGTAACACAGACCATCCATTACATAGTAACACACACCAGTCATCAGACAGTAACTTAGACAAGGCTTCAGACAATAACTCAGAACAAGAATCACATAGTAATACAGACCAGGCATCAGACAGTAACACTGTCCAGGAATCAGACAGTAACAGACCAGACATCACATATTAACACAGACCAGGAATCAGACAGTAACACATACCAGGCATCACATAGTAACTGTTACGGCCCTATTGGGTCGCAGCTGGGTTCTTTCTCTGATGTTAGCAGAGTTTGGGTATCCGGCCCCAAGTTAGTAGTGGCTTTCAAGAGGTGCGTTCCGTAACGCAAGTAAATTAAAGGGTAAGGGATAAAACTTTACTAAATTAAATATATAATTACCATCACCATAAATAAATATATAAATTATCACACTTGGTATAAACACTAGAATATACAATGTGGTCTGCCTCTGAAGACGCGGAGTGTTCCACGGTGCTCGACGATGCTTAGCCCTTGGTCCTCTTATGGCCTCACGATGAATCCTTCGATTCTCTCGAGTCTACCCTGGCCACAGGCCAGCCATATCACAGTTCCACTGGGGGCACCGTCGTGGAGGCCTTCAACCACAAATCCAGCCTGTAGCTGACAGGTTAAAATCAGTTCCACTGGTTAGGCCACTCCACGACCGATACTAGGGTTGCGAGCCCTAGGCAGGAGCCTCGTGTGACTTCACAGATCACTCTCCTCACCACAACACCCCAGTGGCTAGTCTTCTCCACTAGTCAGCCCCGGGTACGACAATCCCTGGATCTGCCACCTCACAGGCAGGCTAACACAACAGTGTTCATCCGGGGGGTGACTCACAGTTTCAGCGGCAAATGCGTGGAGTTTCTACGGCTGCCTTGGGTAGACTGATCCAACGTTCATTACAGCAGTCCCAGGTCGACTCTGTATTCAGACACGTCATCAGTACTAGTTACACTCTAAGGCACCTCACTTACAGGCTTAGACACAAACGCCCACCTATCCACTCCATAGATGGTGTTGCTGTCTAAGCGTCACCTCACCAGAGGTCAGCAGCGGCTATGTCACAAGAGGGGAAACCAGCCCTTGTGGCCGGTATAGCTCGTCCTCACTAGATGGCGTCGTCCATTTGGAGGGGGTTTCGGGAGCTGACCCACAGATGGCGTGGTCGTCACTGCTCCGTGCTCGGACGCTGGGCTCGGGTCCGTAACAGTAACACACACACCAGGCATCACATAGTAACACAGAAAAGGCATCACATAGTAACACAGACCAGGCCTCAGAAAGTAACACAGACAAGGCATCAGACAGTAACACAGACCAGGCATAACATAGTAACACAGACGAGTTGACACATAGTAACACAGACCAGGTATAACATAGAAACACACACCAGGCATCAATAAGTAACACAGACCAGGCATCAGACAGTAACACAGACCAGGCATCAGACAGTAACACAGACCAGGCATAACATAGTAACACAGACGAGTTGACACATAGTAACACAGACCAGGTATAACATAGAAACACACACCAGGCATCAATAAGTAACACAGACCAGGCATCAGACAGTAACACAGACCAGGCATCACAAAGTAAAACAAACCAACCATCAGACAGTAACACTGACCAGGCATGAGACAGTAATACAGTCCAGGCATCACATAACAACACAGGCCAGGCATCACATAGTAACACAGATCAGGCATCACATAGTAACACAATCCTGGCATCACATATTAACACAGACTAGGCCTCAGGCAGTAACATAGACCAGGCGTCATATAGTAATACAGACCAGGTATCAGACAGTAACACAGACCAGGTATCAGACAGTAACACAGACCAGGCATCAGACAGTAATACAGATCAGGCATCAGACAGTAACATAGACCATTTATCACAAAGTAACACAGACCAGGCATCAGACAGTAACACAGACCAGGCATCAGACAGTAACACAGACCAGGCATCAGACAGTACAACTGACCAGGCATTACATAATAACATAGATCAGGCATTACATAGTAACACAGACCAAGCATCAGACAGTAACACTGACCAGGCGTTACATAGTAACACAGAGCAGGCATCACATATTAACACAGACCAGGTGTCATATAGTAACTCAGAACTGGTGTCACATAGTAACACAGACCAGGCATCAGACACTAACACAAACCAAACATCAGACAGTAACACAGACCAGACATCACTTAGTAACACAGACCAGACATCAGACAGTAACACAGTCCAGGTGTCAGTCAGTAACATAGACCAGGCATCACTTAGTAATACTGACAAGGCATCACATAATAAAACAGAGCAGGCATCAGACAGAAACACAGAGCAGGCATCAGACAGTAACACACACACCATCAGACAGATGCATGGTGTCTGTTTTACGGTATAATGCCTGGTCTGTGTTACTATGTAATGCCTGGTCTGTGTTACTATGTAATGCCTGGTCTGTATTACTATGTAATGTCTGCTCTGTGTTACTGTATGATGCCTGATCTGTGTTACTATGTAATGCCTGGTCTGTGTTACTATGTGATACCTGGTCTGTATTATTATGTGATTCATCATACCAGGCATCACATAGTAACACAGACCAGGTATCACATAGTAACACATACCAGGAATCACGTAGTAACACAGACCAAGCATCACATTGTAACACAGACCAGGCATCCCAAAGTAACACACACCAGGCGTAACAGATAAAAACAGACCAGGCGTCACATAGTTACGAACACCAGTGGTTACATAATACCAAGGCCAAGCATCACATAGTAACGCATGCCAGGCATCGGACAGTAACACAGACCAGGCATCACATAGTAACACAGACCAGGCATCACATAGTTACACAGACCAGGCATCACGTAGTAACTCAGACCAGGTATCGGAATGTAACACAGACCAGGCCTCACATAATAATGCAGACCAGGTATCATATAGTAACAGACCAGGCATTACATAGTAAACACAGACCAGGCATCATTCAGTAACACAGATCAGGCTTTACATAGAAACACAAATCATGCATCAGGCAGTAACACAGATGCCTGGCATGTGTTATTGTGTAATGCTTCCTCTGTGGTTCTATGTAACGCCTGGTGATTGTTACTATGTGACGCCTGGTCTGTTTTTATCTGTTACGCCTGGTCTGTGTTACTATGCGATGCCTGGTCTGGGTTACAATATGATGTTTGGCCTCTGTTACTATAAATGCCTGGTCTGTGTTACAATGTTACGCCTGGTCTGTGTTACAATGTTACGCCTGGTTTGTGTTACTATGTGATGCCTGGTATGATGCATCACATAATAATACAGATCAGGCATTACATAGTAACACAGACCAGTCATTACATAGTAACACAGACCAGGCATCATACAGAAACACGGAGCAGGCATTACATAGTAACACAGACCAGGCATTACGTAGTAACACAGACCAGGCATCATACAGTAACACAGAGCAGGCATTACATAGTAACACAGACCAGGCATTGGATAGTAACACAGACCAGGCATAATACAGTAGCACAGAACAGGCATTACATAGAAACACAGACAAGACATCAGGCAGTAACACAGACCAGGCATTAGACAGTAACTCAGAATAGGCATCACATAGTAACACAGACCAGACATTACATAGTAACAAAGACCAGGCATCAGACAGTAACTCAGACCAGACATCACAGAGTAATACAGACCAGGCATGAGAAAGTAACACACACCAGGCATTTTAAAGTAACTCAGACGTGGCGTAACTTAGTAACACAGACCAGGCATCAGACTATGTCACAGACCAGGCATCGGACAGTATCAAAGACCAGGCCTCAGACTGTATCCCAGACTATGCATCAGACTGTATCACAGACCTCGCATCATATAGAAACACAGACCAGGCATCAGACAGTAACTCAGACCAGACATCAGACAATAACACAGACAAGACATCAGACAGTAACACAGAGCAGGCATAAGACAGTAACACAGACCAGGCATCTTACAGTAACACAGAGCAGGCATAAGACATTAACCCAGACCAGGCGTTACATAATAACACAGAGCAGGCATCACATAGTAACACAGAACAAGCATCACATTGTAACACAGACCAGGCATCGTACAGTAACACAGACCAGGCATCACATAGTAACACAGACCAGGCATCACATAGTAACTCAGACCAGGTATCGGAATGTAACATAGACCAGGCATCACATAATAATACAGACCAGGCATCAGAGAGTAACATAGATCAGGCAATAAACAGTAACACAGTTCAGGCATCACATAACAACACAGACCAGGCATCACATAGTAACACAGACCAGGCATCACATAGTAAAAAAGACCAGGCATCATAGAGTAACACAGAACGGGCAACACATAGTAACACAGACCAGGCATCAGACAGTAACACTGACCAGACATCACATAATAACATATTATAGTTTGTGTGTTGGTGGTGTTGTCGTCTGTGAGTTGTTCTAGTGAGGACGGGATATCCTGGATTCCAGTCTTAATCAGCTCGACAACCCAACCCACAACTCGGTAGAGTGCTTATACCTCTGATTACTAGGAGATCACACTAGGCGCTTCTGGCTCTTGGAGAGGGGCTCAACGTCACACGTGTTGTTCCTCCTTCTCTTTAGGGGATGCGGCTCCAACATGTTTAGGGGACTTAGCCTCGTTGTCACGTGCACACACCCACTCGAGCCGCTGTGACTCCCCACTCTCTCCTTAGGTGATATGATCTCCTCAATCCCCTTTTGACTTATTAGTATTACCTTCTACCCTGTCCACAGCAGTGGTTCTTGTTTTTTTCTCTCTCTCTCTCTCTCCTTCTTTACTACCTCCTGGGAAGCCTCACTAGGACAAGGGCAAACACCAGCAAATTGGGATACATTTACTGGACAAAGCACATACACGATACATACACACATATAATAATAATGAATCCTATACTCTATAATATTACAATCAGGTTGCACTCCAACACCATCAGAACTCTATTATCAGCTTATCAAGTGGTATCCTATCTCCTGGTTCACCACCTGATACTATCAACCTCCTCAAGTTGATCAAGTCTACATACACTGTTGCACCATCAGCAAGAGAATATATATATGTATCTATAAATGTGTACAAAGAAAATCAGCATTTGAATGCAATAACATATATCAGTATAAATGTTCCTTGATACACAACAATGATCAATCGATCACTCTATCAGTCCTAGAACACATACATCTGTAGATAATCAAGCCTACGACTGCAACTCTAAACTTCAGTATAAAACACTCCTTGACATAAGAATGCAAACAATCACTCACCTCTCACTGCGTCTTGCACGCTAATGACAACCAAACACTATCAACTCCCTACAAGTAATCCACCAGAACTTCCCTTCCACCTCTGGAAGTTCACTACCCTGATATCTTCAGGTTCTTCCGGGCTTCACTACCAGGATCCTCTGCAGCTCCTCCAGGCTGCTATCATGAAGTTTCCTTGAGCAACTACGGTGCTTCACCCTTCTGCTAGGTTCCTCCACAGCTCTCTTGGCTGCTACACCATGAAGTTTCCTCGAGCAACTATGGTGCTTCACCACCTCTACAGAAGCACGTGACACTCCTCTTCACTGCTTCTCCTCACAGCTCGAGGTCCTCTGCTCCACTACCTTGGAGTCTCATCAATTACTTCATCTGTGCTGGCTTCGAAGTTCTCAGCAACTTCTTCCCCAAAGACAAACCTGCAACCCATCGACACTCCAATAAAATGTTTCCCCTTTAACACATAAACAAAAATAATCACACAATATGTTTGCCTCAAACCTCTATCTGTCCTCTACATACAGTGAGAGTGGACTCCCCCGTTTTGGGCGGGTCCATACTCCACCTCGCCCGGCGGCGGTCCTCCTCACTCACTCCAGGGAGGGGCCTTCGCCGTCGGGAGCTCTCAGTCACCTGCCAGCGCTCAGAGGGGACGGACGTCGCTCCGTGTTCCTCCCTCTTCACTCTCTTATTTTAGGCTTTCTGCCTTATTAAAACATGTCTAACTTATAAATAAACATTGCTACTGTCGCTGGGCACACGACCAACTACAAGCAATCACTATGAACTGGCGTATACCGTGCTTACCACAGATCGTCTGGTCGAGGGCGCTATCCCTCTGACAGAGCTTGGTCAAGGCGCTTCCACGGCCCACAATAATGTCTCTGGCCGGCTTGATACTCTCTTCTTCGACCATGACTTGAGACCACAACGTTCCCAGCTCAGTTCCACAGCTGGCACGTCTACACACTTCTCTTCTCTTGGAGATATATCACTAGGGGTTCCCTTCTGACGGGAGCTCGAACGGAGCGCGGCTTTCCCCTGCGATGTCTGGCACTCAAGTGAGGTCAAAGCCCCTCCAGAAGCGAGCCTCACGCCTCCAGCAAAATGTCCACATCTCCTAGCCAGTCATTTATCTGTTTTCTTCTTCATTGCCCATAATCTTAAATTGTTATACATATCCAAGCAACTATTTTACATATGTGTTATCACCTCAATATTTGCTAGACCTTCTAATCAGGTCAGGCTTGATGAATAACTCTCAAAGAGGGAGACTCGTTTCTCCTGCAGGCTGAGATCATAACACTCCCCTCCCCTTATTTTTGAGAGTTATTCCAGTGGCAAAGCTCGGGATAATACATCCGCCACCACACTGTCTCGTTCTTCAACCGATATACTCCCTTAGGAGTCTACAATTAGTTCGTTGCACCTTGCAACATCTGGCTCACAACTCGCCAGAAACATGATCTTCTCATAAACGATCTGACTTCTCTGGCACCTCTTGGCTAGGCTGTCCTCCTAGGACGCCTGCACTCCATCGGTCCACTCTACTTATTGTTTCCACCCTCCGTTTCCTCGTCTTCTTCTCTTCACGTCCAGAGTCAGACATCTACTGTCTGTACCTCCTCTGTCGTCTTCACACTTCCATCTACTGCCATTATACTTTCGTCTCCTGTCATCATACTTCACTCCCTCGTCTTCACCGACGATCCTCCCTTTCGTCTCCTCATTTATCCGAGACCTCATCCTGTTTGACTTCCATCGAGTCCTCGGCTTTCTTCTATTCCTCCATGCTTGTATCATCATCCTCTTCCCACACTTCTCACCTCTATACAACTCCATTTCTTCTCCTTCAACTCTTCTTCGTTCCCTAAAAGTTTCTTCGAGCACTGTACTACACTCAACAGCACTCGACCGTACATGTCGCTCTACCTCTCCTAGAGTGCTCGTAAGCATCTCTCCACACATACTGTCTCTTCTCCTTTCATTTTCTCGGCTATTACTCTTCTTCACTATCTCTCCTCCACGTTTTCTGTGAAACATGTCAACTCTTGACATCTCAAACAACTTAACTCCACTATCCATATGCCTCTGTGCTCGTGGACCACTTGACGCTCTACTCCCGTCCTCAGTCTGTCCACATCTTTCCTCATTCCTACTCAGCACAGTTGCATTCGCCTTCCGACTCTTAATTTCAGCAGTCTGGGCTCTACTCAGGTCCACTCTCTTCACATGATTCTTCTTCGGCTGGGCCATCTTCACTTTTGACCTCACCGAGACTTCATTTTCCTGGGCTGGACCTTCATCAAACAGCCATGCTATATCTACATCGATATCTTCTACCGGTTTAATCGACACTGTCTCATCTTCTCCAGCGTCTTCCTCGTCGGCCACCTCTGCCTTCATCACTACGGAGACAGGGTTTTCAATGGCTTGGCGGTCTCCTGACTCATCTCCTCGGATGTCAGTCAGGTTCACACTCTCAGGTGTCCCACCCGTGCCGTGGCCTTCTGGGCACTCCTCTGGCACAGTCTCCGCCATGACTCTTGGCAACACCTTTGTCCCGCACAAGTCATTCCCCAGGATCACTTGGACTCCTGGAATAGGTATGTCGGGGCATACACCCAACATCACCTCTGCCGACACATATTCCGACCTTAGCTGGACAGTACAAATGGGCATGTCACTCTCAGACAATAACTCATATACTTTCATCTTACTCCTGCCAGCTAACCGTCGATCATTCCCAATCAGGCTTCTCGTAATCAAGCTCTGATTAGCTCCGGTATCTCTTAAGATACCAACTTCTACTTCAGGTTGGCCTCCTATACTGATCCAACCTTTGCTCATGAACGGCCTATACCTCTCGTTCACTAAGTTCGCTCTCTGTGGTTTGTCTCGGAACACATTAGTATATTTACCTCGGGGGTCACACATGGCCAGGGTCACAACTCTCTTGCCCTGCCGACAATCTCGCATCACGTGACCCAATCCGTTACAATTGTAACATCTCATCTGGGAAAAGTGTCTTCTATATGTACCAGAGTGGCTCTGACTTTGTCCACTCGTATTGGAGTTCCTCGCGCCAGGTACACTACCTGCACTCTGTGGGGCTTTACTGGACTCTTGATTCCCTGGATAACGATTAGTTTCTCGTTTAGCTCCTCCATTCTCACTTTCAGACGAAGTACGCGACCTACTCTTCTGAGTTTTAGGGTACTTACTTTTATCTGCCCATTTATCAAAATTCTTCTCACCCCAGACTCTTCTGGGTCTTTCATAATTTCTTCCTCCCCAGACTCCACTGGGTCTGCCATTGCTGCATCTCGCCTCGCTTCTCACTCTGTTCTCCCTCAAGCTCTTGTATGCTTCGGTAATCATATCCGCCCTATCTGCGGCATCTTTCACCTCCTTTATCCCTGCTTCTTGGATCTTGAACTTTGTTTCGGGATGCATCATCTCCAAGAACTTCTCCATGACCATCAGTTGCTTCAGGTCAGCGTAAGATCCAACTCCAGCAGCCTCAATCCACTTCTGGAATCGTCTTTCCAGATCTCTTGCTGTCTCAGCAAAAGTACATGCTCCAACTTTGATCATCTCTCTGAAGCGCTTCCTATAAGCTTCTGG